ACCGATATGTCCACTGTGTGGGAACCGGGGAGGCGGCGGCTGTGTGTTTTTCTGTCAACTACATCACCCTCGACACGGCGAGGTCCAGGACTGTGAGTATGTGTGGGGGGGGGGCCCGCGCGGGGGTGAGGGGGGGGAGGGGGGATCATATGCAGGGGGAAATCAGAAATGAACCGCTGCCTGCGGGAAGGCGTCCGAAGTCCGAAACTGCCCCTAGGGAGTGAGTCCTGAGCAATGATGGAGTCATCGACCCCTGGTTCCGGTAGTAAAGCCCCATTATTGCGTTACCGACATCATTTGTGGTTTAGTCGCTCTGTCTGGTCTCGTGAGATTGTCGTTGAGGCCTTTGATATTATCCAGCGTAGTGCAGATTAGCTGTAGCTACTGAAAAGTCTTGAAAGGATCGACGAGTGGTAGTAAAGCTCAAGCGTGGCTACCTTTGTCGCCTGCAAAAGCAGTCCATGCGAGCCGCGGGGGAGGGAGGGGAGGGGAGAGGGAAGGGGGAGAGGGGGAGGAAGGGAGCCATGTGACGCAGGGGACACAAAAGAGAGCAACTGCCGACCGACATCTGGCGGTGTAGGGGAGAGGGAGCGGGAGCGGGGCAGGCACGGAGGAGGGGGAGGGGGGGGTGCGGGGAAAGGCTTGAGGGCGGGCGAGAGAAGGCTTGGGACTTTTGTGCATGATTAAAATTATTTGTTTTTATTACTAGAATTATCTTGTTTATTATTTACATTGCTGCTGTTGTTGTCGCTGCTGTTGTTGTTCATATAAATCTCTACCGTGGCCCCGCGGCGGGAATCCCTCTCCGAAGCCCTGCAATCCCCTCCAACCCCTCTCCCCCCTCCACTCCACCACCCCCTCCAGGGTATCGAGCACATGGAGCAGGTCCTGGTCCACAACATGGATTGGGTCGGGGACAGAGCCATGGTGAGGTGGGGGAAGGGGGAACTCTACGTGTGTGCAAAGAGCGGGTTGAAGTGGGTATGTGTACGGGTTCCTCTGTGGCATTTCCCAAGGCCGCGATGACGACCTTTCTTCCGTGCTTTGTTCCAGAGCGTCTCCCGCTCGGTTTCCGGCCCTTGAGCCATCGTCAGTACAACTGTAGGGCCTTTTTAAATGTAAAGCAAACGACTCCATCAATTTTCATTGCTCACTGATTTTTTTTGACTACCTTCCAACTAACTTGCAACGGCCTCCCGACAACTCCCAATAATATCTTCATACGACGTGCGTCCGTACAGGACTGGCCGGATGGCAGTCGTGACGTACAGGTGTATGAGGTGGAGGCGAATGGGGAAATTGAGGCCACGGTGTGGGGCCTGCTGGATGAGGTAGGTAGGGGTATGTATGTATGTATGATGTGTGTATGTATGTATGTATGTATGTATGTATGTATGTATGTATGTGTGTATGTGTGTATGATGTGTGTATGTTGTGTGTATGCATATGCGGATCGTGCGGGCAGGGGGGATTGGCAGAGGGGGGAATGGGGCGGAAGCGGATCCCTTTGGTCGTATTTGAGCAGGACATGACGTCACAAATCCTTTTCCCTCCTTTGTCTCTGCTCCATGTCCTCACCCGCCGCAACACGTGCCCCCATCTGTGGCATTTGCCCCGATGTTCCTTAGGTGGCACGCCCGTCGAAACCACCTTCACCTCACCAACCCTCTTTTTCTCTCCTCTCACCGCTCTCTTCCATCTCCGGCTCCCAACTCAAAACACACACGAAACACACACGCACGCACACGTCAGGCGTACGGCGGCAAGGAGCCCGAGGTGAACCGGCGGCAGCACAGCCAGATCGTCATCATCAACCCGTCCAAGCTCCGGATGAAGTCCATGCTTCCCCCCGCCGGGGGAAACAAAAACACACACGTGGACGGGGGACACGCCGATGCCGTACAGGCGCAGCGTGAGAGGGCGGCAGCGGAAGTGGACTTTTTGGAGGCCTGGAAGAAGTGAGTGGCTGTGTGTGTGTGGCTGTGTGTTTGGGAGGAATGGGGAACTGCGGGGGCTCCGTCATTGTGGACAATGGTACGTTTGGACGTACATATCTACACAAAACAGTGGAAGATAGTGCTGGATTTGGTTTTGTGGGTCAGTATTCGTGGTGGGTTGGGGGGAGAGTCGTACAGTTTTGGGTTTTTTAAGACCCCGTCGTCCCCTCCCTCTCTCCCACCTCGGGACCGCGGATCTCCCCACTCACCTTCAATGGACAATGTGCCCGTGTAATCCATGTTGCCGCCACAACGTAAGGGCTAACATGCAGGCTCCTGAAAATTTTCGTAATATTTCTGTTCCTCATAGTCGTACAAGAAATCTCCTCACTTTCAGTTTTGACTTTATCACAGATGTTTCAGATGGACTTAATATAATTCCATAGTTGCCTTAATGTTATGTTTCGTGTGTAAGAGGTTACTGGCTATCAACACACGATTACCCACCTCCAACCCGTTACCCAACCGCCGTTACCGTTACATTCCGTTAGGGGAATGATGACGTCAGCTCACGTGGTGGAGCAGGAGGCTGGCTTTCTTTACCGGTATCGGTACGGCGGCCGCGGCGGCGGGGCGGCTTTCGTTGGGCAGTACAACTTCTTGCTCATTGACATTAGCGCGGGACCTGTGTCGTACGGGCCGTTGGCGTCCCCGTCGGGCGCCGTAACGCCAACCGCCATGCCGCGACTCATGGTGAGAGTTTTCTGAGCAAACGTGCATGTATGTGTATATGCATATACATGTGAGTATTACGGAGTTTCAATTCTTTCCCCTATGGGGGAGGGGTTTACTTCGCGGTCCTGGCGTCGTGTGTTTGTTGTGTATGTTGTGTTTTAGTGAGCTGAGCCTCGAGTAGGTTAGTTGTGCAGGAGTTCGTTGTAGAGGTATGCGTGTTTGTGTGTGTTTTTGTCCTGCCCATTTCACCCCCGTCACCCCCCGCAACCCCCCCTCTCAGCCCATGTTGCTCCGAATGACCCGGGAGTTGGAGACCCACCCCCAGGTGAGATGTATGACACACAGACAGACAAACAGACATAGATAGGTGTGGTATAAGTATTTACATATACATATTGTCACGAACACGCGTTCCGTCGCACCTACGTCATGGTCACGCCCCTCATCGCGCACCCGTATATCCCAGGACTTGCTCAAATTATTGAACGCCCCCTCGCCCCTGGCCCCACACCCAAACCCACACAATCAAAACCCATCTGGCCGGAGCCCCCCCAGAAACACAGCGAGAGAGAGAGAGAGAGACACAACTGGTAGCTCTTTGCAGTGATGCTGCTCCTTCTCTTTCTCCTTCTCTTCCCTCATCCCATCCTTTCCCCACCACCATCACACCATCACCCCTTTCCCCCCCCCACACACACATACAATCCCCACCTTTTTCCCCCATACAAAGTTAAAAACACACCATAAACCTCCCTGGCTTTCCCCGACTTCCCTTGACTCCCCCCCTTCGTTCGTGGTTTGCCTCTCTCTCTCTCTCTCTCTCTCTCTCTCTCTTTCCCCCCCCCCCGGCCCGCGAATACTCAGCCCGGGACACTTCGTCAGTTCATGCTGGAGGAGGCGGCACGCGGGCAGGCGGCCGTGTTTGCCGGGCAGCTGGCCTCCACTGTAGCCGCCGCCACCCGGCACCTGTTTGCCTCGGACCTGATGATGGCGGCTGCGGACGGGTTGGGCGCGGGGGAGGGGGGAATGCCCAAGCGGGTGGTGGTGCCCATCATCGTCATGCAGGTGCGGGAGGGGGGTACTGTACGGGCGGTGGGGCAGAGTGGGGGCGCGGTGTTGATTCGTGGAAAAGGGGGAAAGGGGAAACCGTTTGAATGGGAAACAGTCAACTGCCGGCGATCCCCCTTTTCAGATGTGTGCCGGGTAATTGTTTTTGGGGGGAGATTGGGTGATGGAGGTAGGAGAAGGTACTGGATAGATTTGGGTATTATCTAGCTGCGAAGTGAATGGGAGGGCGGGAGGGAGGTTCTTGCCGGGGTGGGGTGGCTTCTTTATCCCCCCTTCCCACACACACACACCAACCCGTGGCACCTCACTCACATCCTCCCCCCGTCCCCCCGCCGCCGTTATACGTTAATATACACACGTACATACGTACTTGCACGCACACGCACATACATACATACATACCCAGGACCATGTTCGGGAGTTGGAGCACGAGGGTGACGGTACTCGCTGGATCGACACCGACATGATTCAGTTGGCGTTGGACGAGATGCTGCCCCCGGAGGTGGCCGGGTCGGTGTCGGTCAGTCGGCACATGCTGCACCACCACAAGCTGCTGGCCAGTGCGCTGGTGAAGGCGAGGCACTCTAGGTGCGTGTGCACCGGGGCCACGGCGGGGCGGTGATGGTGATGGTGAGGGTGGAGGCTGAGGACAAGTTATCACTCTTCCGTCGGGGGCTGATAAAAGAGTAAAGGGAGAGGGAGAAGAAGGGGGAGAAGAGGAGAGGGGAGAGGGGGAGGGGCGGGGGAGGGGGAAAAAAGGGGAAAAGAGGAGAGAGGAGGGAGAACGGAAGGAGTAGGCCAGTACTCTTTAGAGTTCCATGCGCCTTAAATTATTGTCCTTCAGTTCGTCCCGCCTGTCATTGGTCTTATTTTTCTCTTTTCTCCAGCTCACATACACACAAACACACTTTCAAATACACACACACACACAACACACACACACACACACACAACACACGCAAACGCTTTCTCTGCGTTACTCTTCCTGGTGATTGTCTGTTTGAATATTTCCCCATCCGTTATTCCTTTTGCCTCTCGTTACGCTCCATCCTATTCCCTTTCCCCTCCCCTCCCCTTCCCCCATCGTTTACCGACGTGTGCCGTACAGGTCGGACACGGTGTTGTTGCAGCCCCCCGATGTGGGTCTGCATAAATCCCAGGTGGGTTAGGGTGTTTGGGATGGTATGTATGTATGTATGTATGTATGTATGTATGTATGTGTATGGCATGCCGTTGCTAACCGTTTTCTAACCGCCCCATCATTAGGTAACCTCCCTTGACTCGGCGCTTCTGTTACGGGAGTTGCGGTTGGCGGCTGCGGATGACGACTTGATGGGCGGGTTGGTTGATGTCGTTGGCGGGGATGACTATCATGCAAGGTGGTCGTACTCCGAGGATCCAGACGCGTTCCTGGCGAAGAGAAAGCGGGAGACAAAGGTACGTGCGTGTGTATGCATGTATGTCATGACGTTGGTGTGTCGGTTTGCATGTATGTATGACTTAGATTACACTGTGGGCCGCGAAAGCCGAGGGGCGAAGTCGAAACACAGCGCAAGGGTCGGGAGCACACAGCACAATGTACGCGTGTGTGTGTGTGTGTGTGTGCGCGGCGGTACAACGGGAGGAGGGCAGAAGTCGTGTCATGATGGGTTTGCTTTAATTTGGTTGCTGTCTCAGCAGCCATAAGACAGACAAGTAATTGTACGGCGTAATTTATTTAACCAAAACGTTTCAAGTCGCTCCCCCCATTTCTCTCTCTTTCTCTTTTTGTAGCCCTCGGCAGTTGATTAGTTTTTGCGTTTTTTGCACCATTATTGTTCTCCATTCCCCCCTTTCCCGTCTCTCCTCCTCCTCCTCCCCCCACCCGTTGCTTTGGACGCCTGCTCCTGGCTTTCACCACATATTGCCCCTCCCTCCCCCTAAACCCTCGTCAATTGTCTGTGCTTTGCCATAATCCCCCCAAACTTGCCCTTCTTTGGACGTCGCCGGCAGTAGCTGTCGTTGACTTTGCATCATGTGTTTTTCCCGCTTTCCCCCTCCCTTCCCCCCTCCTTCCCCCGGGGAAAGGTGCTCCCCGTGTTTGTGTTTTCCCTGGAGCGGGCTCCGGAGCACCTGATGTTTGACAACCACCAGTTGGTTGCAGCGGCGTCCGACGTGGTTGCTGTACTGCAACTGCTGGGAAGTGTGAGTCCAGGAGGGGTGGGGAGCGGGGGAGTGGGCTTGGCTCCATGGGGGTGGGGTGGGGTTGGAGTGAGAGGAGAGCGCTTACTCGACTGTTAAAGGAGTTTTCCAAAGCATCATGGCGCGATGGCCGAAGTGGCTCCGGAATCCATTTGGGGCCACCCATCTCCAACCGCCAACCAACTCCAACCCACCCCGAAAAGATAAAACATGGTTCTGGCTGTGTAGCGGTATAGCTTCAAAACCTGCGGGGCCAGTTTTAGGGTTGGGAAGGACACCGATTTAGGGGTTTCGACATCCGTCCATCGGAACCCGGATGGAGTCGTACTGCCGTACTGTCGTACTGCAATCGTAGTGTGGGTTACAATGAGTATCGGTTTATTAAGAAGCCGCCGTCGCTCTTTCCGCTTACCTCCCCCAACCTGCCGTACTCTCCTCCCTCACGGAACGAACGCACGTGCAGCCGCTGTCGGACGAAAACAACCCCCGTGGCCGCACGTACAGCGGCCACATGGCGGAGTCCCACCACCTCATGCTGGATGCGGCGGAGCAGCCGTCTCGATCCGTCATTGGGGGGCTTGCTACAGCCCTGGGGGGTATGGTGCCCGTACAGCAGCGCTACTGCCGGGCGGAGCGAGCCCTTGTGGAGGATTGGAGGTGGTCGGTGGGTGCCGTGCCCTGGGGGCCGTACTCGAACTATACGGCATTAAGGTGAGGAGGGGTGGTGGCATGTGTGCGTGTGTGTTTTGGGGAAGGAAACGGAGCAAGGGGGTTGGGTGGGTGGGTGGGTTGGGAATTCTGAATGCTGCACGTTTTGTGTGTTTTCTTGGTTTCCTGCTGGGTTGGGGTATTTGGGTTTTTCCCCCCCCTCCTTGCCTACATTCGCCGCCAATGTTTTTCGCTCCGTAGGGCCGTCCTTTCCCCTCCTCCTTTGGCCGGACCCCCTGGATTACGTTTCTTTAGTTTTTAAAAAACCATCTGGCACTTGAAACCTGGAACTTCTTAGGACGTACTCTAATAAAAGGATTGTAAAATTGTCGTTCAAGTACTACATTACGATTATAGTAATTAAATACTGTGTATTATTGTTACTAGGTTTTATGTTGTTACAGGGTGGTATAGCTTCGCCAGCGGCCCCCTTTCCCGAGGCAGTTCCCTGCTCTCCCCTGCGAGAGGGGCACGCTAATCCGTTCACCCCATCCGACTTCGGAATGTATTTGTTGTGTTTACTCACCACCAGCATCCAACCAAATCTAGCGGATCAACGGCGCCTCAACTTAGTTCCTGGTTAGCTCGCAAATTGCTATAATCACGTCCTACACCGTCCACAAGATGGGGGGCCACCTCCCAATTCAACACTCCCTCACACACCTGAGAGGTCGGCAGGCGGATTTGAACCCGGACACTCCGATAGCAGAAGTCAGGCCTAAACTTCTGCCAGCCACCTGCCCCAGGATTTATGTATTTTTATGCTGACATTTATAGAACAAACTGTTTAGTATTTATTGAACTTTTCCACTTCAGGTCAGAACAAGAACGAAGACTGGCAAACCTCCAATTGGCTTTCTAGCTTCTGGCACCTTTTTTATATAGAAAACCGCTCTTTTTGGTCTTTCCTCTTCTCTCCTCTCCTTATTATCCCGCAGTTCTGTGTTCGCCGCCACAGCGCGCCGCAATCTGCTGGTGGCGCGAATTGAGCGGCCGCTGCGGAAGTTGATCAGCTCGCTAAACAAACTGGATGACTTTATCGTGAAGCATCTGCAGGTGTGAGGTGTGGGATGTGGGAGGGGTATGTGGCGGGGGGGTGGAAGGGGTAAGACGAACCGCAGACGAGTGATGCTGATGCCGGGGGAGGAGGGGGTGTGTGTGGATTTGTGTATAGAGATCGACGTCAGCGGGATTTGAAGGGAGATAAGGGGGTGCGCGAATATGGGGGATTATATGTGTGGAGCAGGTCTCTGGGTCTCTGGGGGTTCTGTGGGTTTGTACGATGGGATGGTCGTGTGATGTGGTGTGATGAGGTGGGGTTAATGGGGTCGAGGGACACGGCCAGGCACTCGCACCGACGTGTCAGTGTGTTTTGTGCTGTGAGAAACCCCCCGTGTCACACACACACACACACGTGTCTCCCCAATTGATGAAAACCCCTCCTCCTCCCCCTCTTCTTGGATTCTGATTTCCCCCCCTCCTGGACCGTCGACACGTAGGGGCCCTTCGCCTACCTACGGCGCAGGAAGAGCGGCGTCGCCATGCCCGTGTACGCGCCGGCGGCGGCGACGTACGGCGAGGGGACGCCCGCGCCGCTGTACCACAACATGCCGAATCACCACCTGCTGGACGACCTTGCCAGGTACGACATCACCTGCCGTACTTTGTTCCCTGCATGTTTTGCGGGTTGGCCCGACGTGCCGCTCGTACCTATCGTTCTTCAAAGCGTCTGTAGGCCTTTCGTCAAAGTACTCAGCATTTTCTGTTTAGAAAAGAGGATACAATATGTACGACATCTTTATTGTGTGTTTCCTTCCGTACACTACATAATTGATGCTATCCTTCCTATAGTAAGATTTCGCAAAACCTAAAATCTCTCAAAACTTCTGTCCCTCCTCTCATCCCTGTCATTTCCCCCCTATACACACACACACATACCAAACAGGCTGCACATCCGTTACCACAACGGCTCTAGTGCCGTACACTCGGCCAAACGAATTGTACGACACCTTATGGCCGGCATGAAGATGAATCCTGGATCCAAGGCAAACAACGACAGCACATCCACCACTTCGGAAGCCCATCACAACCACCACCGACAGCAGGTCCAACAACCTCAACCACCGCCACACCACCGCGGCCGGCACCTCCAAGGATTTGAATCCCCCCAGCACGATGACGTGGACGGGCACGGTTTTCCAGGTCAACACGACTCGTACAACCACCACTCCGGTGACGAAAACAATCACCAACATTACCAATTTCATTACGAACATCACTACGAAAACGGAGAGCACCATTTTACGGAGGGAGGCGAGTACGACCCCAACGCGTACGACCATCCCGCACTGTTGTCAGAGGAGGAGGTTACGGCACGTACGGCAAACGCAGCGGCGGGTGGACGTGATTCTTCCTCCTCAGCTAACCATGGGGGTGTTAACCGAGCGGACTTGCTGGAGGAGCAGCAGGCTTTGACTCCCGATGTGGCTCTTCGATTACAGGTAATAGATTTGTTCTGTTAATATCTGTAGGTTGGTGTGGTTGGTAGGATTTGCTGTGTGTGTGGGGGGGGGGAAGGTGGTGTCTTGTACCCTAACACGGCCTCTCATCCCTCCCTCCTCCTCCCCTAAGGATTTCGGATAGATTCGATTTAGGTGACTCTTTCCCCCTCATTCACCCTCGCCGGATCTGGCGCATGTCCACTTACTCTCACGGATGTGGATTTGGACACGGATTCGGATCTGGATCTGAAACCCAACCCTGGAATTCTGCACACAGACCGCTTTGGATTCCATCGGCAGCCAGTTGGAGTCCATCAGCTACCTCATGTTCAAGTGAGTGCGCGAGTTGGGGCGCTGGGGGGTTGGTCGCGAGGGGGGTTGGGTTACCTGAGGGCAGTTGTAGGAGGGGGATGTGGGCTGGAGGCTTCTGTCTGGGGATGGGTGTATGTGTGTGTATGTGTGCTAAGGGGGGGGGGTTACACTGCAACTGGAGGGTTGATGGTTTCGGAGGGGTTTAGGAGTGGTTTGAATTTTTACAATCCATCTTAAACCCTGAAGCATGCTACACACTCATTCCAAATTTACTCCCGCTCTGGACGTTTCCCCCCTTTCCTCCCCCTCCCCACAAACGTACCCTGCGCCGGGCATTCCCGTAAACACACATACACATAAACATACACACACGTCCCCCAACCCCAGTCGCAATTGGGCGGAGCTGGAGGACCTTCTGGCCCCCTTCTATGTGGCTGTCAACCTCTTCGCCGCCGCCGTTGACCAAGACCTTCACCACGCGTCGGAGGTCGTCGCTTGCTGTGCCGTACGACATGTACCCACCGGCTCCGGAACCTGGTTTGTCGTGGGCCTCGTGGTTACCTTGCTGGGCGTGTTTGGCATCATTGCTGCACTGGCGATCCGCAGCCAGAAGCTGTACGGCAGTATGTTGGTCGGCAGCCCCCGCGGCGGCCTCGGCAGCAGCGGTGGTACGGCAGCGCGGACTATGAGCCGGGGACGTAGTTTGTCTGGATCCCTACCTAGCTGGTCGGGGCCGTCATTAGGACCGGCACTGCCTCGATAGTGATGACCGTGGTGGTGGTGGTGGTGGTGGTTATGACAATCCATGATGGTGGTAATGATAACGATGTGGAGGGTAAGGGTAAGGACTGGGCGGCGGGTGGCGGCGTGCTGGCGGAGTACAGGGCGAGGGTGGGGGCTTCGATAGGAACAGGGGCATCTGTTTATCAAGCTCGTTCGTCTTAGTTCTCTGTTTTTGTCTTTTTTCCGCTTGTGTCCGCTCCGGGCTGTTGTGGGACCAGTTGCGGTCATGGGCTTTCAGGGGGAGTTTACGGGGGTGTGGATGCATGCCCTGCTGAAGGTGGCATCAGGCCCTCTATGGATTTGTTTGGCGATGGCCCCACTGATCTGAGGGGCGGCTCTGGCGGTGATGGTGACAGCGACTCAAACGGCGGAGTGCTTGCAGGTGCACGTGCTAAGTAAGCAAGGCGGGCAGACACTTTGTCTATCTGTCTGTCCGTGTTATAATGGCTACCCGTACTGCTACGGCCTTTAATCCAGATGCCGCTGCAGGCGTTTTGGTCTCAGTGGTTTTAAGAAAAAACGCACATCCGCAAAGCTCGTTTGCAAGGGCTCCCGGTGTGTTTTCGAGGGAAGAATGAGGGGATATGGGATATGTGGGAGGTGGAATGGGAATCCCTTTGTTCGCTGTAGGTTAGAGGAGGACGAGGACAAATCTCCCCAATCTCGCCAATTCGTGATTTGAATGCCCCACTGTGTGTGGAGTCTCGATTCGTTATTTGACAGAAGTCTTGTGGGGGGCGCCTTGGGAGGGTGCGGCTTGTCGGTGGACCGGAAAGCAGGGGTGAGACCCATGGGTCAGTGAGCCACTTGTGTAAGCGTTATGAATACAACCCATGAGTCCGAGAGATCTCAGGTCAGGTCACGGAGGGCAAGATAGGCCAACATTAGGGACGCATGGGTCGAGGAGCTGTGGCTGGCCTGGAGCCATTACAGTAAAGCGTGCTCCCCTCCCATAATAAAGAACCCCTTACAAATTGAGCATGACGAGTCCAAACTTGTAGTACGGAAGCACTGTACGGCTCAACCTAGGCGATGAAGGGCGTCCTGGCTCTGCATATTCTCTCGCAACCCAACGGACCTCGCATCTCGATGGTCCACTCACACTGAAGCTTACAGCACGTAGGACTTGAACGCCGCCGCCACCGCTGCTGCTGCTGCTGATATAAAGCTGTTCCGAACTAACCGGTTGTGTATTATATGGCCGGCTTCCATTAGCCAGTTAGGGTGGCCTTTTCAGGTAACGGGCTAGAGAGGCTAAAAGTCGGGCACTTGACAGCCAAACTTTAGCTAAATGGGCCCCGCCTGCAGTTCGTCCGTATTCAGGGTCTCGCGAGCTCAATTCCGCATAGTAAATAGTAAGGAAGTTCAAAATATCAAAATGTGATAACGTCCATGCTTTCCTCTGTTTGTTTCGGTGCACGGTGAACTTATTACCGCATGAGACCTCAGGTGGTAAGCTCGCGACATCTATAGATCGCAATCAATCTATAGATCGGCAATCAATTGATCGGTAAAGTGGCGCGAAGCGGAAACGCTGTGACGATAATACGGACCGAGGTAGGATTGAACCATAACTCGATACCATATGAAAAGGAACTGGCTCCAGTTGGCGACTGGAGGAAGCATTACTTCCTAACTTGCCCGATCTGCAGAGCCCGACATCAAATGCTGGCTGAGAGACAAGGAAGAGAAGAATACTAAGCTTACAAATAATGGTGTAGGAATGCCTTAAATAGTCTGGCAAAGCCTTGCACGACACAAAGCCAAACCATACCTACTCGGTAACGAACACAAATCCTTTACACTAGCAATATCTAGTTATCCTACTTAACAGTTCAGGACAATAGCCCTTTAGCAAGAATTGCGCCACTCTCCAGCAGACGTTCCGATCAGGTTCAAAAAATGTTTATGTATTCTTGTGTACTCTTGTATCGGATTCTTATATTATGATAAGCGAAGCAAACAAGCCATGGAAAATGCCATACGATTAAAGTTGGCATTACTGAGCGAGGTACCATTAGTCAACAATTAGTGTGGCGGAACGCCAGCTGGCAGGTAACTTGCCCTAACTAGGGGACGCTAACTGGCTGATGGAAACCGGCCCATAATGGGGTTGGTGTGCCAAGCCTGCGAAGGGCATATTTACGAATTACGTGCAAGTCTAGCAACTGCCGCCAAAAATGCTTCGGCGGTTGACAAACAACTAGGTAAGGGGACCTTTGACAACATCAGACTCGTCCACATAGCGGCGCTTGCTCGATGTAACGACGCAAGGCCCATCTGAGCATCCCGGGTAACGCCTTTGCTGTGTTACACTCGGGTACGGTTAGTAAGGAGATTTATGCGGGTATGGAGAACATGACCATGTTTCATATGTATATTTATATAGAAAAATATAGATTTATGAGATGAATCACGTTTTATAAATCGGCAATTTCATCTCTTACTAGCTGGATGGAGCGCCCTGCTTGGCAACCGCCCGAGGTTCTCATGACCTCGTCAATGCTACTCATGTAAGCGGATGCATCCTTGCGCAAGTATGCATACAAAAATCCGCATCCAGATACAAGTCATATACGTGCACGCCTCTAAAGTACAGGTCGCGTTTAGTCAGAGGCATGGGGTTGCTCCAAAGGCCTCATACATCACGGTCTTGGATGCACGGTGGCTTACATCCAAAAACATATGTAGTAGTGACTTATGACGTAGGGGAGTTTTTCTTCCCGTTCCGCAATATACATGGATGGCATGCATTGCAGCCATCCTTAAGAAGAATGGATTGCATATTGCTCCAAGCTGAACTACAGATATGCTGCTGCTAAGGATAGTTACCACAAAATAGCACCCTGCTGAACGGGCGCTCCGTGACGTCGCCGACATAACGACATACCTTTCACTAATTTGCTGTGTGTGCTTGTGTGCCATGGACATGACGTATTTCTTACTTCGCACAGAGTCTTAATGGGGGCCATGTCGGTGAGCGCAGTCGACATGTCAGGTACGGCGTGTTGGCGTCGGTTATTGGTTTGTGTGGTTGTTACAGTGGGCTCGTGGTGACTGGCCAGACGTGTGTTTAGCGAAGTTGTGATACGTTATGCAATACAAATCGTCTTACGTCTCACTACCTCATCTTCCGACCAACACAGTAATGAGTGCCTTACTCGCTGCCTTGAGGGCTTTCTAGGCTGTTACGACATGATGGTGACCGCCAGCTTGCCGCCGCTAAGCTTACAATCTGTTCGCTCGCCTTCACGCCTGGAAAGCCCTCCCAAGCTGTCCTTCGCCCCGTTTGTAAACACACACACATATATACACGGCATCGTCAGGAGTACCCCCGCGACCGCCCAGACTGCCTCCACCGTCGCCTCCGCCAAATAGGGGTCCCTCCCCTCCCCACCCGCCTTCACCACGACCGTCCCCTGTACCACCATCTCCTAGCCGGGCAGCTCCCCCCTTCCCACCAGCCCCACCCTCTCCAAGAGTCAGATCGCCTCCACCCTCGCCCCCACCGCCAAGGCCACCCCCGGCTGGACGACCCCGCATGGCGCCATTTCCCTCCCCTCCTCCTCCCTTTGGGCTGCGGCCCCCATCTCCACCA